TGGTGGCTCACACCTGTAATTTCAACATCTTAGGAGGACAAGGCAACAAGATTGCATGAGGTTAGGAGTTCGAGATCAGCCTGGTCAACATAGTGAGACCCCATCTCTACAAAATAAATAAATAAATAAAAATAAAACCAGCCAGACTCAGTGGCTCAGCCTGTAATCCCGCGCCTTGGGAGGCTGAGGTGAGTGGATTGCCTGAGCCCAAGGGTTCAAGACCCGCCTGGGCAACTTGGTGAGACCTCATCTCTACAATAAACCAAAAAATCAGCCAGGCGTGGTAGCGCATGCCTGTAGTTTTGGCTACTTGGAAGGCTGAGGTGGAAGGATCGCCGGAGCCCAGCAGGTCGAGGCTGCGGTGGCCAGGAGCGGCCACTGCACTCCAGTGTGGGCGACAGAGTGAGACTCCAACTCAAAAAAATAAATAAATAAAAAATAAAACCAAACAACAGAACCAAAAAAAAACCCTTTATATATATACCTTTAAATATAGATATATTTGGAGAAAGAGAGAGTGAGACAAAAAATGTGTACATATTATAAGAAAGGAAAACTCTATATTAAAATTGCAGATGGATACAAGTCATATTTGACTTCTGCAGTTACAAGAGTTGCTCAAAGTGGTTAGCATTAGCATTCAGACACTTCTGATTATGGTGAACTAAAAGTAATACATAGATAATATCTGTAAAAATGTGCATACTTTTTTGGCACCCCCGGTATGTGTGTGTATGTGTGTGTGAAATCTGCCTCCTAACACATCCACTTAATTCTTACAATACCTCTAAATCAGGACCTTTCCAACTACCTCTGAAAGGCTTACACAGAATGAGACCACTTCAGGGGAACTGGTAGCCTAAGAGATGTGTGTCTATTCTAAAGAAGGGTCTGATTAAAGCAAAGTGGGAGTACTGATGTGGTGGCTCACACCTGGAATCTCAGCACTTTGGGAGGCCAAGGCAGGAATATTGCTTGCACCCAGAAGTTTGAGACTAACCTCGGCAACATAGGAAGACCTCACCTCTAAAAGGTACAAACAAACAAACAAGCCAATAAAACAAAGTGGGAGTATGCTAGAGGAATGTCATCTGACCAACCCCCAAAAGGCCTCCCAGACTGTCATGCACTGTGGATAGGCCCTGGTACTCTGGCCTATAGGTACAAAGGTTTGATCTTACAGAACTCAAAACTGAAGGAGTTGAAGAAAGCTGATCTATGACCCTCCTGTCTCCCGCCCCCCAATGCACAGCAATTCAGAACCAGTCAACCCACTCAGATGGAATATATAACTGTCGATAGATAAGAGGCGTGGCATTGTCAAAGCCATTCTGATGTGTGGGCGGTAGAAGTCCAATTATTTTAAAGCTGATTAGAGAACAGAGCATGAGGAGAGATAAGTGGGCTGCCTGAGTCAATATTTAATCACATCAAACGCTAATGATCCTGTGGGTCCATCTTGCACCTGAGACTCTGGGTTGGCCGCTCAAGTTGGTTTTTCAGGACACAACACCATAGATGGATAGATGATTCAGCTTGACTTCTGGAATGTCTTTGGCCAAACTCTAACCTTTGTCCAGAGGGAAATATTCTTTCTTGAAATATGGATAGTTTTAGTCAATAGTCAAATTTTACACTGTCATATTTCTGCTTTGATCCATGATTTGTTACCTTGATAAATGAATTCTCTGAACAACATCATTTTTCCAGCTTTTTGGGGAAAGGAAGGCAGGGGTAATGTTACACACACACACACACACACACACACACACACACACACACAGGGCTATAATGATTTGAGTCGGATCTGCTAAGTCTGGCTGTGCCCCCTCTTTACCCACTGACCTCACTTGATTGGCAGTAAGGTAAAGCCTTGTTATTTGCTGTTTTCTTTGTCTCTTTGACGTCCCCTCTTTCCCTGAAAGCACCAGGACAGAAACAATATGTTAGCTGTGCTACAGAGCAGCCCACTTCAATAGCTCTTGACTGGAGTATTAGCAATGGGCATGAGCAGCCCTATTACCTCTGCTGCAAATAACTCAGATTATACCAGAAATTGCTTCTTAAAGGGGTCAGTAACACTTTCAGAACAAACCATTTGTAAACATTTAAACAGGAATCTGGTAGAGGATTTTACACAGAGACATGAGGAGTTTCTACCATTGCCACTATCTCTTAAAAGAAAAAACACAACTTTGTAAATGGAGGACAGAGAAATCAATGTCTAAATCTTAAGCCACTGGAGGAACCATGCAGACTTCCAAAGTATCATTGTTATATCACTTTAAATTTTTAAATGTTTATTATTACAGGATACCTGTTATACATAAACACCAAAGTCCATACACATATTTGTTTGGGTTATTAGATTTCTGTGTTTCTACTCTTCTCAATATACTAAAATCTCATTTCTACAGTATGTCTATTGCATTAGTAGAAGTGGTAATATATTCAATCAACTGTTTACTTGGTTGGATTGGCTATAAATTTGTTGACATGTATTAATGATTCCTCATTTTCTTGCCTAGAGATCATTTCTCTACTCATTTATTTGCAATCTCTCTACATTCTTATTTGACAGTATCCTATGAGCAGCATAACAGCACTCCAAGCTCATAAGGAATAGTGTAAACTAATTAGCCAATTTTATGATGGAAACTATTCCCCTCCTTTGTGATCACCCTAGCTGGATAATGAGCTTCGTGAAAACATCCATCTCCCGCCACACTAAGGCAATGGCCTCACTCAAGCCAGCTTGTATGTTGCCCTTAGACTTCAGTCCATAATTGTAAATGTGGCACAAATCCAGAAACAAGCTGTCACTGTGGGGTGAGGTGCAGTGTTAAAAATAAAGTAGCCTAAAAGTGAATTTTGAGTGAAGAAAATTCTTAATCTTCTCTTGCAATCGACAGAAAAAAAAATAGACCTAATAAGATATGTTTGAAAAACACTAGAACTAAAAAGACAGTGTGTAACTGAAATGCAGGGAAGTCACAGAAAAGTCCCCCACATGCAGGTGTACAGAAGCACTGAGGGGTTACTAATGAACCCTAAATTGAAGTGTCGAATAGTTTGTTATGGGAGGAAGATTCAGAGATAAGAGTGAAAATCAGTGCTGGCTCATTGCATCAACAGTGGGATCGATCGACACACCCACTGCTGAAGTTACCTTTAAACAGCAGGCGCATGCTTTGACCACTCTAGCCCACAGTCCCCTGGCCTGACATGGGACGAGCTTGGTCTTGTCCACAAATTCATGAATTATCCTGCTCCCATTTGGGGCATATGTTGGAAACACAGAAATCTAATAACCCACGTTGGAAATTTCACCCAACACTACCTATTTTGGTTTTGGTGTATTTGTTTACAGCAGATGCAATTTGCTACCAAAAACATCACCACACAAAATTCCAAAATCACTTGAAAGAATAGAGGAAAAAACAAAACAGAAAATTCTGTACGCTTGTTAGTCTTCTTCATTGAAGTAGTTCATTCAGTTTAATGGCAGTTATCATTGTAGAAATATTATATTGCAAAGGATTGTCAACCACCATAGCTAAAGAGACACAGATATAGGACAAATTGCTGACTTGAATATCATCTACAAGCTCTCTAGCATGCCGTATGTAACTTGAAATATATCCCATCATAACAATGTATGTAAATGTACTAAACATATTTAACAATTTATTTCAAACTTCCATGTTTTGCAGATGGCATCAGGATCTTAGAATGTATAGATCTTTTACAGTTCTACTTAAATATAAATAATACATTTGTCTGATTCAGAGGTGTGTTTTTCCCTGATAAATATGCTTACCACGCATGACTGTCAGTGAAAATTATGAGGGTACACTACAATAAAAACTATACTCTATGTAGATATAATAGGAAATAATCTATGTCTTAAAAATAGGAATTAATTTATAATCTTCCATTACTGCTGACTAAGTACTGTGGTGTTGGAAAATATCTTTAGATTGAAGAGTATCTTTAGATTGAAGTCAAGAAAGCTGTATTTTTCATGCATTAGGGGAGAAATTTTCCAAAATATCAGATTTTCAGATTTAGGAGAAACTCAAAAAAGGCAAAAGTGTTATTATAAAATGAACATATAAAGAATCAAAAGACCACTAAAAGATGGCATTACAAATATGAAGCAAATGTATTTGGACTAACAAAGGTCAGAAAAGTATTTAAATGTCTTTATAGAAACATGACAAAACAAATAAAATGTGTTGTTAATGACAGAAGAAAGGGTTCATTTTAGAACATGAGTTTTTTTTTTTAAACTGAGTTTTCATTTCATATAGCATTGTTAACATAGGTCAAATATTTTGCATTTAAATACACTTACAGCATTCGGTGTGTACTTGTGAATGTCTACATAAGTGATTCTGAAATAACATTTGCTCTTTCAATAGCTTTATTTTAGCATTAAAAAAGTATGGGTGCTAGTAAATCTTTTGTTCCTAGTAGATTTAAAAAACCTGAAAGAAGACATTTGTTGAAATTTGCATTAGGTTTGGAAAATGTCTGTCTAACAATTGAGCGTGGCCATATTTTCACTTTTAAGCTCTCACATTGAGAGAGTATCAAGGTATTACAGCAATTTACTCTTAGGGACATTATGCTGGGCTTTGAAATTTTAAAAATAGGCTATTTCTTCTTGGATTATGTTATGATCAATGTACAGTCCCTGTGCAAGGAAAATTAAAGCTGTCTGACAACTCTTAGAAACATCATTGGCTGTTCAAGATGTAGGAAATTGCATAAAAGCTTAAAAAGCACTGGATAATTTTGCAGTTTCATCTCCACACACAATTGTAAAAGTGTCCATCTTTCTCTTCTTTCTCCTTCTTCCTTCTGAAGCAAGAACTTTTAGTTCTTGCCCTTTTAAATACCTTTGCCTCCTGTGACTTTGCTTCTTAATGTATGGTTGATTTTACTGGGCTAAGAATGTATTTACAGGGGATGCTGGCTTTTATCTGTGTCCACAGAGAATGCTAACAAATTAGAAGAAAGTGCCAGAGAACACCACATCCCTTGTCCAGAACACTACAACGGCTTCTGCATGCATGGGAAGTGCGAACATTCTGTCAATATGCAGGAGCCATCTTGCAGGTAACGGTTTTACTCTTAAACTTTTATAGTGCGTAAAGTGAAAACATAGAAATAAGATTCTAGATGTTTGTGGAGAATTGGTTGGCATTCTGCTTGAATGGGTGATTAGCAACAAAGCTTTCCTCTGCCTCTCCCATGTCTGTCCACACACAATCCCACACAAGCATGTGTGCATGTGCCTTACATACCCAAGTACTGTGTAACACACATCACAATATATACCATAAACCATAAAGGGTGTGTGCCTAACACACCCAAGTACTGCATAGCATGACAGGATATAAACAATAAACCATAAAGTGTGTGTGCTTTACACACCCAAGTACTGTGCAACACATACTTACAATAAACCATGAAGTGTGGGTCTTACACACCCAAGTATTATGTCACACATCACCATGTATAACATAAACTACGTGTGTGTGCCTTGCACGCTCAAGTAGTGAGAAACATATCACGATATATACCATAAAATATGTGTGCCTTACACATGCAAGTACTGTGTAACAAGTCATGATATATGCCATAAGCCATAAAGTTTGTGTGCCTTGCACACCCAAGTACTATGTATACACCACTATATATGCAATAAACCATAAAGTGTGTCTTACACAACTCAAGTACTAGGTAACACATCACTATATATACCATAAATCACAAGATGTGTGTGCCGTTCACACCCAAATACTATGTAACACGGCATGATATAGACCATAAGCCATAAAGTGTGTGTGCCTTTCACACTTAAGCTCTATGCAACACATCAGCATATGGTTTCCTAGAAGAGTCAGCAATTGTCCTTCGTATATTACAAAGGCACAGGCTCCTCGTCTTACCACTCCTTTGCCTGAAATAGCACAAAGCTTGGCAGATATCAGGTGCTCAGTGAACATTTTTCAGATAAGTGGATGAAGCCTTATGTCCATTAACGTAGTTGCTTCTGTAAGATCATCTCTTCCAAAGTCCTCCAGGCCTGCTGATAAATATCGTCAATACTTGTCCTGTCGGACACCTGGTATTTTCTGTGGACCTGCTCCCCATAGGCCCTTGTAGTGAGGTTGGTCCCCGCACTGGCCAGTTTCAAACTCAGTAGAGACACAAATATATTGCATATCTGGACTTGGCTTAAAATATAAATACTTGCTGCATATTCATGTCTGAACCATAATTATTTCAGAGATCATAATCTCAAAATTAAAAAAAAATTTAAATTAATAAGTGGCATAGTCTGTGCTTTGATTCTCTCCTTCCCTCCTTCCCTCTCCTCCCCTCTTTCTCTCTCTCCTCTCTCCACCCTCTTCCCCCTCCCTCTCTCTTTCCCTATCACCATCTCTTCTTCCCCCTCCCTCTCTCTTTCCCTATCACCATCTCTTCCTCTCTCCCTCTCCCCGCTCCCCATGTCTCCCTCCTGTCCTCTGTCCCTATCTCCCTCTTTCCTTGTCTCCCCCTCTCTCTCCCCTCTCTCTCCTGCTCCTTCTCTCTCACTCCTTCCCTCCCTCTCTCTCCATCTTCTCTCTCTCTCTCCCTCTCTCTGCCTCTTTCTCTCTCTTTTCCTCTCTGGCTCACTCATTCTCTCTCCCTTCCTTTCTCCCTCTTTCTCCCCCTTTCCCTCTTACTCTCTCCCTCTCTTCCCTTCTCCCCCTCTCCCTCTCTTCCTCTGTGCCTCTCTCCCTCTGTCCCTCTCTCCTCTCCCCTTTCTCTCTCTCTCTCACCTAAAGCTTTCTTGTTTTCCTCCACCGAATCCACTAGCACCTGTAGTCCAGTGAACTCAGGCAGTATAACATAACGTAACTCTGTCACTCCTGCCCCTCCTCACTCCCCAACCCAGTCCCTTGATAAAGCTTCCCTGAAGAAAGATCTCCAGATGCAGTCAGGAGACATTCAAAGTGAAGGAGCAGAATAGTTCCACAAAGACAAGTCATCCCCTTTAGTAGTATTTCTTTTCTTTTCTTTTTTTTTTGTATGAGCTGTTTCCTCATTTCTTTGTCAAATGCTAATTTTAGTGTACAGATGGTCTACCTGAGCTTTCCCATGAGGGATGAGTAAGGAAGAAGCCACACTCCTTCCAGGATGAACAATGCGTGGACTTGTTTTGAAGACCAGTACTACTTACATCATAATTGATTTTTTCGAACAAAGTTTAGCTTTGACATCAGATGTTCTTATGACCAACAAATTAAAGAAATGTACCTCTGATCCTAATATTCCTCAACATCTATTCTAACAATAGCAAGAAAATGTTTTATCCAAAACAAATAGACTTTTTTTGTGTACCCATGTCATCAGAAATAAATCTTTCTTCTGATGATCTTTTTGTTATCTTGTGTAAAGAACAAATTAAATGAAATGTAAAGCTCACCTGAAAAATAGAGAAAGAACATTTACCGCTGGACATGTGTTCTCCATATTATCATCAAAACAATTTATCTACAACTCTTCAAAATCCGTTATTATTAATACAAAGAGAAACGACATACCTTACAACCTAAAAACACAAAGAAGTCTTGCTGCAAGTAAGAAATTGAGAATTATATCTATAAAGTAGTTATTTATTTAGAAAGGGAGACAGCCCTAGTTTTGTGGTGAAGATAAATGCCTGTTGGCCAACTATGAAGATGAACCCAACAGCTAAGGTCACCCAACGATCTCATTTTTTCCAGGTGTGATGCTGGCTACACTGGACAACACTGTGAAAAGAAGGACTACAGTGTTCTCTACGTGGTCCCTGGTCCTGTACGATTTCAGTATGTCTTGATTGCGGCTGTGATTGGAACAGTTCAGATTGCTGTCATTTGTGTGGTGGTCCTCTGCATCACAAGGTCAGTAACTGCACTGGGTGCCGGCCCCCTACTCCCAAAGGACTATGTTGTTTCTCCTTTGTGATGTCAGATCTCTCTGATTATGAGACCCTCCCTGAACTCTGCAGCCATCCACTCTTGATGCATCCTATTTCCGTATCATAAGAGCATTTGAATAGTCAAATGGAAAAGTGTGGCTTTTCATGTTGTAGGGGCACTAATTATTTGCCTTAGTTTTGCATTATGATGAGGATTATTTCTTTTCTAAGCAGAGTTCTTCTTTTTTTCTATCATATAATGCCAACCTTTGTCTAAATATGCTTTTTTGTTTTAACTATAAAAGGTCAGTCTTCACTGAGATTAACAGACTGTGTAAATGACCGGCATATCCTGGCCTTCCCAGGTCAGTATGCCAAGTGAGGCTGGATTTTATACAAGACTTAGATAAGTATTGAATTATAGGTATGATTTGTTGCACTTCTATTTACAAGTATAGCTCGCAGATATAATCAGTTTCAACATAACCTGGTATGAACAACAGATATATTTTTATCTTAAGATGACAAAATAGCTTTTAATCACAAAATAAAAAAATTGGTTGTAATGAGAAGGGTTATATTAGAGTAAATGAAAACCTTTGACATATAGAAACATGTAGCAAATATCACAAGTTTTTATATCAAACTCCTAGACCAATCCAAAGGTCATTTTTTCCTGGAGACCCAGGTTGGGAGAGACATGGAGGTTTCATCCAGTTTCAGCAGGAAAGAAAACCATGATTAATTAGTGATGTCTGACATTGGACTTGAAGTAAAAAAGGGAGACCAGATATCAGCTTAATTTCATTAGTGTGCAAACCCATGGTAAGCAAAAATTAGACTCTGAGCCAAATGCATATCCTGTGTAACCAGAAAAGTCATTGAAGATACTTCTTTCTGACCTGATTTCATTCTCTTTAAAAAGTTCCAAAGAAGTTTTTCAAGGTTTTCGCCAAATTCACAAGGTATTTAGCCTTTCTTCATTTGTACAGATCTACAGTAAATCAGAATGTTTCCCTGAAAATCATTTTCAAAAGACATGAAAATAAAAGAAAGTATCATATCTTTAAAGAATAAAGGCCATAACACAGCACAGTATCTGTATTGCACTATCATCTTTGAGGACAAGTGTGGCATTTGCTCTTGCAAAAGACAAAATGTGGTTCATAAATCCTCACCTGGCCTAAAGGCTTAAAGGAAGATCATTGAGCAGAGCTTTGGGCTCCTTCAAGCCAAGCTGAGTTCATCAACTCAATTCTCACGTTCAGATGCCAAGTGAGTCAGTGGATTATACTAAAATAGATTCTGGGGAACATAAAGATAACTCAAGAAACCAAAAATACTGAGTATGAAAAGAAATGACAGAAAATAATGTAAAACATAGGAAACTCTGCCATGTTACTCTATGAGTCTTGTGCATTCTAATATCTAGGCAATGTCAAAACATGGGAAACAAAATTTATATTTAATGTATATAATCCCTACTTCAATTGCTGACACAAATGCAAAATTTTAGCAGATGTTTTAAATTCTGTTGTTAGTCATAGCTTTCTTATACATAATAAAAACAACTGAATTATATAGGGATCTTTCCTCATCGGGAATTGTGTATTTGTTATGTGTGTGTATCATATATGTATAAACATACACACATACATATACACATTAAATAACCTTACAAAGAAGGAACAATGATCTCACTTTGAGGATAGAGACCCTGAGGCATGAGAAACTGGCAGATTACTGACATCACATGGCCATGCAACATGGGCAGCATTGGCATCCAGGCTGCCAGGTGTGGGGCCTGGGCACTTAACCACCACTCACATTGGCCTTTTCTGGGAGGAATTTTGTATATTCTGATGCTCTAGATCAGCAGTCCCCAACCATTTTGGCATCAGGGACTGATTTTGTAGAAGATAATTTTTCCACAGATCATGAAGGAGGAGTGGTTTCAGGATGATTCAAGTGCACTTGTTGTGCACTTACTATTATTGCATTGCAATAATATAATGAAATAATCATACTACTCACCATAAAAAAGAGGCGTGGACGAAGTGGTAAATAAAATAATGGGTGGGCCATGTACCGTCTAAAATAAGTGTCAGTTTATGGCTTAAAGCCTGACACCAGATGCAGCTGTATTGAAGTACATCAACTCACTTACTACTCACTGATACAGTTTTGATATGAGTTTGTAAGCAACTGATATATTATTGTCTCTGTGCAGTCAAGCCTCACTGCTAATGTTAATCTGTATTTGTAGCCACTCCCCAGTGCTGGAATCACTGCCTCGGCTCCACCTCAGATCATCAGGCATTAGATCCTCATAAGGAGCTCACAGCCTAGAATCCCTCACATGTACAGTTTACAGTAGAGTTCACGCTCCTATGAGAATCTAATGCCATCGCTGATCTAACAGGAGGTGGAGCTCAGGTGGTAATGAAAGCGATAGGAAGCAGCTATAAATACAGGTGAAACTTCGCTTACCTGCCGGCTGTTCACCACCTGCTGTGCAGTCAGGTTCCTAAGAAGCCATGGACAATACCAATCTGTAGCCCAGAGGCTGAGGACTCCTGCTCTAAATTACCTAAAATGAGCTCCAAATTAGAGTAAGCTCCACTTTTCATACGACCTTTTTCATTTTCTATGTTAAAGCAAAACAAAGCCTATTCTCCGTTAATTAAGTTAGTTAGTTATTTTGATTTGGTGTTTTACAATGTAACCCTGACTGGAGTACAGTAGTACGATCATGGCTTATTTGCAATCTCAACCTCCTGGGCTTACGTGATTCTCCTGCCTCAGCCATTCGAGTAGCTGGGACTACAGGTGTGTGCCACCATGCCCAGCTAATTTTTTTTTTTAATTTGGTAGAGATGAGGTCTCACTGTGTTGCCCAGGCTGGTCTCAAACTCCAAGGTTCAAACAGTCCTCCCACCTCGGAATCCCAAAGTGCTGGGATTACAGGCATGAGCCACTGCACTCGGCCTCATTCACTTTTGAGGAGGAGAAATAGCACATAAACTAAGTGAAATGCATTTTATAAATCTGCCCTAGGACCAGCCAACCTTCCAGAGCCTTTCCAGGACTCATACTCGTCAGTAAACTACACTAGTTTCCAGTGTGGCTTCTTTCACTTGCTTAAACATTCTACTCTGAAACCAGACTTTCCAGGCAGGCCATCTCCATCTCTCCCTCCCACTCCCACTTCCACCTCCAGAAACCTGAGCTCCCTGGTGACCTGGCCACACTTCCCTGTCAAGACCTATTTTAAAACATCCAATTGCTAAAAGATTTACAAAATTACACTGAGCAGAAGTCCTCATGTTTCCTTTCTTTTTTTTTCTTTTTTTTTTTTGGTCTTTCTCTCTTTTCTTCTGCATCTCTTTCCTTTCTCCTCTCCCCTTTCTTTTTTTTTTTTTTTTTGAGTTGGAGTTTCACTCAGTCGCCCAGACTGGAGTGCAGTGGCCGCTCCCGGCCACCGCAGCCTCGACTCACTGGGATCCGGCGATCCTTCCGCCTCAGCCTTCCAAGTAGCCGGAATTACAAGCATGCGCTACCACGCCCGGCTGATTTTTTGATTTATTGTAAAGATGAGGTCTCGCTGCCCAGGCGGGTCTCGAACCCGCGGGCTCAGGCAATCCACTCACCTCAGCCTCCCAAAGGCACGGGATTACAGGTCTTTTTTTTAAAAAATACCTTTCCCTTTTTTCTTTACTATTTCAATCAAATACTGCCCTTCTGCTAAGCACATCATATGTCACAAAAAATATGTACATCTAGAGACATGTTTCAAAATGAAGAGTTGCTCTGTTGAGAAGTTAGGTTCTCAGTCTTTTTTATGTTCATTCCTCACTTGCTGAGAATGTGATTTCCCTCTCCATGTTTATTTAGACAGAACTATCCTTACCCAAAAACCACACACACACACACACACACACACACACATGCACACACACACACACAGCTCAAATGCATACTATATACCGGGAGTGCCAAAAAAATGTACACACATTTTAAGAGATGTTATCTATGTATTATTTTTCGAAGTTAAATTGAATTATGGCAGCAATGTGTGGATATAGAAGTTAAACTTGAGTTGTATTTATCTTTTGTTACCAGTATATATTAAGACAATTTTAATACAATTTTTTTTCTTTCTTAAAATGTGAATTTTCACTTTTTGGCACCCTCTGTAAATATGTGTGTGTGTGTGTGTGTGTGTGTGTGTGTGTGTGTGTGTGTGTGTGTGTGTGTGTATTTATATGTTTACATATTCTCTGACACCTCACAGCTTATTATAGTAGGATTTTATATTAACTTTATCTTGTTCTTATTCATATAGTCAACTCATTCTTTGATTACAAGAAAAAAAAACTGGATCAGAGGTTTTCAGATAATTTGACTGAATATTAGATTTTTATAGAGGCCAAATAATTGATACCAATTCATGCCTCTAGTTTATAGTATTAATATACAAAAATGTTATTAGTCTGAACCAAAACAATCTCCCTTTCCATTACATACCAGATATTAACAGTTGGTTCATTCTCTGGTTTGATAAGATTTAAACTCATAGTATTGAAATGTCAATATAACATTCATTCTTAAGACATTTAATATATAAAATTGTGGAAGACCTTTAAAGTGAGATAAGATGCGATCACAACTTGTTTGATCACATTGTGCTGAGTCACTCTTTGTGCCTTAACGAGTAAGCAGTTAAGGGCAAAGTGAATGTCTTCCTCTTCCACTTCTGCCTCTGTTTTTCAGTTCTCAACAGAAGCTTAATGACAACTGCAAAGAGAAGCAAAATGATAACTTTTCCAAATAATCTCAGCTTCTACTAATAAATTATTCCATCTAAAATATTTTAATAATTTGCTTAACCCACAGCTTTCCTCTGTGACTGTAGCACCAAACTATAGGGAATCACATTGGACTAAGATCTGTAAACTTTCCCACCTTCTAGGAAATGCCCCAGAAGCAACAGAATTCACAGACAGAAGCAAAATACAGGGCACTACAGTTCAGACAACACAACCAGAGCGTCCACGAGGTTAATCTAAAGGGAGCATGTTTCAGTGGCCGGACTGCTGAGCACTTGGACTACATGATACAGTATTATAGATGAAAAGTAAGACGAGATCTACACATGTTGCCTTGCATTTGTGGTAATCTACACCAATGAAAACATGTACTACAGCTATATTTGATTATGTATGGATATATTTGAAATAGTATACATTGTCTTGATGTTTTTTCTGTAATGTAAATAAACTATTTATATCACACAATATAGTTTTTCTTTCCCATGTATTTGTTATATATAATAAATACTCAGTGATGAGAAAATATTGGCATTCTTAAATTTGCGGTATCTCATACCTGTAAACATAATCAAACTAGTACAATCTGTAGGTACCAATATTTCATCTTTCTCCACACCTTGAGACACCACATTAGTTTGTACAGGACTCAGTGGTTAGGTTTTGAGTTATTCCAAGATCAAGGGAAATGATGGTTATTGGAAAAGAGAAAAAAATAATTTACTTTATATCGAGTGAGGATAAAATATTTCAGATCTTTGAACCATCTCTATTTCATCAGCTTTCTTCCCTAGCCTTCCATTTTCATCCCCAGAGTAGAAAAATTTCTGGCATATAAATTAAATAAAAGAAAAAGGGAGGGAAAGTGTTTTATAACTCATAAAGGAGAGGGAAAGAAGATATTGGTTTTGATTTGGGAAGCAGCCTAGACTCTCCCAGTGAAGTGCATCACCCAAAGTGTCCTGAAAAAGTTTCATATTAGGTAGACACAGAGCAGCAAAATATATTCTATTTAGGTGAGTGGAATAAACACCAGGGGAAAAGTTTAATAACACCATTAATTGTGAAACACCAAAATCATGAATTGTCAAAAGCACCTTACCATATTTATGGTATATGATTCTTTAAAGAGCAGTTAGAATCACAACCAAATACCCCATGAATAACTGGATGATGAATGCAGCATCGTTATTTGAAATGGAATGAAGATGATGGTGGTATTTCATGAAAACAGAAACGTGTTTTGAGCATATTTATATGACGAAATAGGAAAGAAAATTAATACCATGGCATCTAAAAGACCTTGGTGGAAAATTGATGTGAATTTATGCTTGATTTGTGCATACAAATAGGTAGCACCACTTGGTTTGAAAAAAAAAAATAAACTGTGAAAACTCAAAGAATAAGATGAAAATAAATCAAATAATTGCCTTATCATCGTTTAGTTCTGCAAAATTTTCCATGGCTAACATAGTAAATGGAAATAAAGCTCTCTTTGTCTCCTTCAAATGACCTCTCCGTGGACTAAGAAAAAAAAATGACATAATGTGTCCAACAGACACAAATACCAAGTCAACACGTTCTGAATATAAAATATTCAGTGAAAATTTATTTTCTGAAGTGATATTTAAGATACTTGTTAAAACATAAATAAAGGTGACAACCTAAATAGGATTTAGGACTGAAAAACCTGGTTTTCTAGGTTAGACATCACTTTGAAAAGTGTTAATTTATTGGCATAACCATGACTTGAGTGTTCCCATATATCAGTCATGTGCTATTTGTACAAGACAAATTCCTTTTAAACTTCTGCATAGAAGTATAGCTTGATAAACAGGTAGAGAGATGTAACTAGCCCTGGTCTCCTTTGTAAGCTAATAGTTGTGACAAAGAAATTCTTTCTTTTTCTATAGGAAAAGGAAAAGAAAAACCACAACATCAACAGAGATGTGTAGCATTAAGAGTAACTACAGTTCCACTGAGTTGTGCTTATAAGAGTATGAAATGAGTATGGATGTACTAATAAATGTACATTTTTATCAAAGGATCATAATCCTGAGTTCTTGGAGTTAATGGTACAATACACTCCTGTCCTCCTCTGTGCTTACCCCTTGGAGGAAACTCTTTTTGAAGATGTATAACGGTCTTAAGTGAGCATATACTGTGTGTCTATTGGAGCATATACTATGTGTCTATACTACTAGCACTATTGGAGGTCCTAGAGGATGACCAAGTATGTCCGCTGCCCTAAAAGAACTCATGGTAGCTCATGCCTGTAACCCCAGCACCTTGGAGACAGAGGAGAGGATCGTCTGAGCCCAGGAGTTCAAGATCAGCCTGGGCAACTTGTCTAGACCACGTCTCTACAATAAATTTTTAAAAATTAGCTGGGCATGGTGGTGCATGCCTATGGTTCCAGCTACTTGGAAGGCTGGGGTGGAAGAATCGCCTGAGCCCAACGGGTCGAGGCTGCAGTAGCCATGATCCTGCCACTGCATTCCAGTCTGGGCAACAGAGTGAGACTCCGACTCAAAAAAAAAAAAAAAAAAAAGAGAGAACTAATAATCTAGTCCTGACACATCATTATCCAGCCTCCCGGCCTCTACTATATATTTCTTATAAGCTGGAATTTCATTTTTGAACAATCCTAATTTTTCAGACAATTCTTTCTTGTATTGAGTTGAAATTTACTTCTATGTTGTTTCTTCTCATGGCTTCTATTTTTTTCTCTCTGGAGCAAAGGAGTAATGACTTGTGTATTTAAAATATAAAGACAGGAATCATGTCTTTCCACTCCACAGCCTTGTTGCATATACTTTCTTCTCCAAATGAGACATCCTTCATGTCTTCATGTACTCCTCATGTGACATGATCTCCACATGCCCTGGCATCTGCATCATCCTTCCTTGAACAAACCCTACTTTGTCATTATATTTCTTTCAGTGTAGAGCTCAGAATTGCACAACTATCACAGTTGTGGCTTGACCAGCACAGTATACAGAAGAACTTACCGAGTGCAAATTTAACTAAGAGCAATGACTTCTTCACTGAAGTCCTACTTTGACTGTAGATTTGCTGTGGAACCATGAGCAAGACATTTCACATGTCAAATCTCAGTTTCCCCATCCATAAGGTGACTTCTACCTGGTAATTTCAAAATTCTATGCATTCAGAAGAAAGGCACCAACTTTTATTGCTCCTAACTCAAGATCATATGAACTATTTTTTATGACTTATCCTCAGTTTAAACTCAAAACTCTTTTTAAATAAACTGCTAACAAGCCATGTCATTCACTCATTCACTCATTCATTCATTATACATTCACCAAGGCCTCCAGTTACAACATCATGCTAGAATACAAGAAGACAAAATTCAATAAGGCAGAGTCCTTGCCTGGAAGGAGCCTGCTGTCAGATCATCTGGGTTCTTTGCATCAAAGATCTCACGGTCCTGTGGGGGAGACTGAGAAGTAAATAAGAAATTACAAAGGCCGGGCTCCGTGGCTCAGCCTGTAATCCCACGCCTTTGGGAGGCTGAGGTGAGTGGATTGCCTGAGCCCGCGGGTTCAAGATCCGCCTGGGCAGCGAGACCTCATCTCTACAATAAATCAAAAAATCAGCTGGGCGTGGTAGCGCGTGCCTGTAATTCCGGCTACTGGGAAGGCTGAGGCGGAGGGATCGCCGGAGCCCAGCAGGTCGAGGCTGCGGTGGCCAGGAGCGGCCACTGCACTCCAGTCTGGGCGACAGAGTGAGACTCCAACTCAAAAAAAAAAAAAAAGAAAAGAAATTACAAAGAATGTAACAGAAGCTCTGATCCCAGTCAGTCCAGAGTGTGTGAGGACCTTACAGGAGGAGGGACCTGCAGGCCAGGTAGGTGTCCTCTTCACTGGGGGATTTCTTCATTCTCCACACATACTATGCCTTCTTGCTTCTAGCATTTTTTACACTCCTCTACTTTCTTCACGCCCTTCTCTTCACAAAACCCACAGTGAATAAGAGCTGATCAGTGAAACCTCTATGACCTCCTTGTCCTCTTGGCCATGCTCCTAGGGTTCTGTTATGGTTCTTTCCTTTTCTTTCTTTCTTTGTTTTTTTTTTTTTTTGTGGTTTTTTTTTTTTTTTTGAGTCAGGTTCTCATTCTATTGTCCAATCTGCTAGCACAATTACAGCTCACCGCAGCCTTGACCTCTTGGGCTCAGGTGATACTCCCACCTCAGTCTCCTGGGTAGTGGGTGCTACAGGTGTGCACCATCAAGCCTGCCTAATTTCTTTTAGTTTTTTGTAGAGACAAGGTCTCACTATGTTGCCCAGGCTGGTCTTGAACTCTTAGCCTCAAGCAATCCTCCTGCCTCAGCCACCTAAAATGCTGGAATTGGCCTTGAACTCTTAGCCCCAAGCAATCCTCCTGCGTCAGCCGCCTAAAGTGCTGGAATTAAAGGCATGAGCCACCACATACAGCTTTTATAGTACTTTTCATGTTGTTCCTTAAGGATCCACATGAGTCTATCTTTCCTTAGCCTCAGAGCGATAAAAAACCAGGAAAGGAGTGTCTTGCCGATGGTTTCCATTCATGCAAGAAGCACTCACGGGGTGCTCGCACTGTGTCAGTCACTATTCTAGGGTGCTGTGATGCAGCAGTGAAGTGGCTAACAGGTCCTCATTCACAGGCTCAAGTTTTAGCAGAGGAGGTAGATGAGAAAAGGGGATTCAGCAAACAATCAAGAAAACTGGAACATCTTTAAGTTCCACTTTAAGATTTACAAATAGGACACAGTGACTAGGGAGGGAGTGAGAATCGGGTGCCTCTAAAGTGAGTATAATATTAAAACTCAGCCTCTGAAGCAAGGCAGAGAAAAGCACTGGTTGAAGCTCCCCTCTCCTGGTCACCTAACCTTGGTCAAGTTGCCTGACTTCATTATGCCTCATATTAAGGTGGAAGAAAAATGTTTTCCCATGCCTGGTGTGACTGGTATGAGAAATGAACATGAAACCCGCACTTGTGCTCAGAACAACGACATGCACAGAGTAAACTTTCAATATTGTTTAGGGATATGATACATATTTCTTGTAAAAATAAAGATATTAAGAAGAAGAAACCATATTTCGTCAGTTAAGTAATGCAGAATGGGGTCAGGCATGGTGGCTCATGCCTGTAATCCCAGCACTTTGGGAGGCTGAGGCAGGAGGATTGCTTGAGGCCAGGAGTTTGATAGCAGCCTGGGCAACATAACAAGACCCTGACTCTAGAAAAAAGTTCAAAAATCAGCTGGGTGTGGTGCCATGCACCTATAATTCCAGATATTCGGGAGGCTGAGGTGGGAGGATTGCTTGAGTCCAGGAGGTTGAGGCTGTAGTGAGCTATGACAGTGCCACTTTACCCCAGCCTGGGCAATAGAGAACGATCACATCGCTAAAAAGAAAATGATAATAATAATGCATTCTGACAATCATATTGTCAGAGTTAGAAGTAGTCAAGCAATCATCTTCACCCAAAAAAGTGTCTCTTAACTTTGAAGACAAGAGAAC